CAGCCATGTTCAGTACCCTGTAAAACTCTTGAAAGCAATATATATGAAGCATGTGCGCGAATCAGCATTGTAGGGTGGACCGGGGGTATTCTCCTATTATCATGGACTTTGGGGGAGTTTTGCCGAATTCTGATGGTAAGAAAACATGAATAAAATAGAGTAACTTGTATAGCTTTTTGATTCAAAACAATCATAAATCTGACATGATGAGTTCTAAAATAAATACCATCTGCATTACATCTTCTGGCAGCCATTGAAAATATATTCTTATTGGTAACGGCCACATTCCCAATATTCTGTCTAATTACAACTGGTGAAATCATATTTCTCCTCTGGAACTCTATACCTGACCAATAGCTTCCTGGACAAACATTACTCCAGCACAGAAGTGACATCAAGTTCTTTGGCATGGAATCATCATGTTTATTGTTCGCTGGGTTTAAGGATTCTGTCGTTCAGCTTGGCTTGTGTTGTAGTCCGATTTCTTTTAAGTCTCACCCCACTAAGGTAACTACCTCAGACTCAGTTTCAAAACATTAAAAGCCCAGTTATATAACCAATGATCGAACAAGATGACCCTGCCGTGCGTGGCTGGAATGAAGGTTTACAATGTGAATAGGTATCTGAAGCATAAATGATATATGCGAGTTGTTGATCAGCCATTATGAAGATATTAATTTATCCCGTTCGAATTTTGATTTTGAATCTTCTAATGAAGACTATAAGAATAAATTAATATCTAAACATGTATTTTTTTATTTACATTTCCAATTTTCTTGAAAAGTACCATTATAATTTAATATTTTGAATAGCGAAATTGGTATTGAACTAAAAAACTAACGAGAAGCCTCTTTTCGGGTCGATATTTAACCAAGCGGTTTCTGTCCCCAAAAATACATTTTGCCGCCGATCCCACCCCATGCCACACAATGGGGATCTTATACACATATTTAGAGATGTGCAGCGGCATTAAAAAGTAATGTTTTACCAAGCTCTAATCAAATCATCATTTATATCAACGTGAACTCATTTCCCGCCAATTTACCCCCACCCCACCACTCTTCCCACACACGCACACCTGCAACCCCCCATCCCTCCTCCCCACAAATCAAAACAGGTGTCCGGGGACATCAAATACACTTATTAATTTTAGAAATGGACCGTCCTAGAAATTTATGTTTTATTAATACATGATCATCATTTATGTGAACATAATCATACCCCCCCCCCTCAAACGCCTGTTCGCCACACAGATTCGGAATCTGTTTATGTTTTATTAATACATAATCATACCTCCCTCCCCTTATCTCAACCCCCCCCCCTAAACACGTGAACAACTGGTAAGACTCTAATAAGTTTATAGTTAATAAACGCAACTAAAGAACTGAATGTTTTTTTGGGGGTTATATATTTTTGAGTTGTTAAGTTCCCAAATCTATAGAAACCGTTATTAACCTATAAACAAACCTATCAATTGCCTCCCTACGATTACGTAAAGTGGTTAATCCCCAACAACTTAAACAATTCTAATTACTATATTATTTCGTTGATTATCACGAGAACAATAGTTATAATACTTAAATATGCAAATTTCAATAAAGCCTTTTCGGGTGAAAAGAAAATGTAGACTTTATTAGTACTTATGAATAATTTTGCAAGAACGTACAAAGTACTGTGAATCTGTGACAACTTATGAAAGTGATAATAATTACATCATTTACATGGACCTATATCTTGGATATATTGTTGTGGTGAATAAACATAAATCAGCAAAGATATGACTAACTCCTCATATTTTCAGTTTGAGGCGTTCCTGTTTCATTACTGAACCAATCAAAAACACACTTTTATGGAATAACAATTACTATGGTTTATTTCACTGCGACGTTTCAACAAGATTTCACAAGTCGTTATCAAGCATAGTAATTGTTATTCCATAAAAGTGTGTTTTTGATTATGTTCCAATTACTAAATGGCATTCAAAGAATTCATTACTGAACGCATAACAGTTGTTACTAATTTGAGATTGGCAAAACTGGCGCGTATTGTTATATCCAAACAAAGCATCCTACGTGGTTCTCCCAATCGAAATCGATAATGATAAATTTTAAACCTTCAAATAACCTTCAATGTATTCATACCTTGGAAAGCGGGGCATGGGGTCACGCATGACTGTTCGGTCTGACGCTACTATTGCTATGGTATTTATTGTTAACAGTGTTTATTTTCTGGAAAATACAGAAGTTGCTTTCATAACTAATTTTCTGGAGAATACAGAAGTTTATTTGCATATTTGAATAAGAACAAATAAACCCCTTTTCTTCCTTAAGATCAGACGTGGCTTTTTTTCACAAATCTAAACAGCTACACACCTTTAGATGTTATTTCCATTGATCTCCCATTCATGTTATAAAACGTATCCACCTGTTGCGACGTCATCAGAGGGTGATATCTGATATCGGCCCTAGTACGACGATATCCGATATCACTCTCTGATGACGTCGCAACAGGTTTACATCTCTCTGCAATGGAAAAGGACACAAATTCTTTCTTTTAACATTTTATTCACTTTTTTTGCACAACGACGAACTTTTCCAGGCCTATGTTACTTAGTTTCTTCATATAGTCCGGTGGCTGAAGGAGGCCGGATCTCCATCTGAGCTGTGAATTTATGAGACCAAGTTCTTCTGGATTCCGAATCTAGTGATCAGGCGTTTGAGGGGTCATTTTCGAGGTATGTCCAATGTCCCACCCAATGATTTGTGGCGAGGTGGGTTGGGTGGTTCCAGGTGTGCGTGTGTGTTAAGGGGGAATGGGCGGGAAATGAGTTCACGATCATTTAAATAATGATTTTTTTAGAGCTTGATCAAAGATTTCTAAATATGTTTATAAGATTCCCATTCTGTGGTGGTGGGCGCTGGCAACATGTATTTTTGTGGACAGAAACCATTTGGTTCATAATTGAGCTTAAAAGTTAGTTTATTCTTAGTCTTCATCAGAAGATGAAAAATCAAAAGTTAACAATATGAGCGAAATAAATATTTTTTGGTTGCTGACCAACAGCTCGCACATATTTTGGATATGCTTCCGATACCAATTCACATAGCAAATCTTCATTCCAACCATGCAGCAAAAGACCACTACGGCCAGGTGGTAATAAAGAAAGATAATGTTATTTTTTCACCCAGAAAATCTTTCTTCCAGCCTCATCTACTGATGTAAGGCGCCTTCCGCGATATTTTCTACCTTTATCGATCAGAATGTGTATATTTGGATCATTGTTTGCGAGGAGAATGATTGTGATGTTTATGTCGTCCAAGCCAGTACGCAAAAACAATTTGTTTTAGCGCCTCCATTAATTTGCAATGCGAAGAGGAGTAAGTAGGTAAGCTATTCTGGTGTCCTCGTGGTTTGTTGTCAGTTATAGGATATTCTCGACACTTTTATTACTAATCTTGATAGAGTTTTTGATCCTATCAAGATTAGTATTGAAAGTGTCCAGAATATCTCGGCCTACGGTACATGCTGTCAATGGTAATGACTAGCTGCCTTTCTTTTTCAAGATAATTCGAACCTTCTAATAATTTTTAATGAGCTGGGACACACAAACGATGTTTCTGATGACGTAATAGCTGGTTTAGAAATAAAATGTTTGTACCTTGTATGGCGAAAGTAGATGACACTAGAAGAATTTTAATTGTGATGAAAAATAACAAACCTTTCTTACTCTATTACCATCTTGCCCGAGTAGTCTTTTGCTTGACATTAAACGCAACAATTATGTTGCAACAATATGGAGACAGGCTGCAAAACCAATGATCGAACAAGATGACCCTGCGATATAAGGCTGGAATGAAGATTTATAATGTAAATGGGAATCTGAAGCATATCCAAAGGATATATGCGATCTGTTTATCAGCCATCAAGAAGATATCTATCCCGCTCATATTATGAACTTTGATTTTGAAGACTAAGAATAAACTAATATCTAAACATGTCTCTAATTTACTGTTTTTTTTATGTACATTTCCAGATCTCTTGAAAAGTAACATTACAATTTAATATTTGGTACTAAACGAAAAAGCTAACGAGAAAACCAAGAGGTTTCTGTCCCAAAAAGTACATTAAATTCGGCACTTTGACATGTGAACCCTCGATTAGGGTGATATTTATCTCATACACTACAAAGCCTTCAAATTCTTAAAATTATCTTGACCCTTTAGCACGTAGTTAAGGCATCTATTATTGTCATGCGGGGGGTGGTTGAGGATCTTACACTGAGACGCGAAACACTGATTTGACTGAAAGTGCTAGCGAGACTTAATGTGGCTGAAATGTGATTCTTGGCATGATTGGACATTTTGGCAGGGTACGTGATTAACCACACAACTGGCCACGGGGCCATTGACCACTTTACGCCGGCAAACGGTAAAAATCAAGTCAGTAATTTTTGTGTTCACCTCTAGTAGATAAACACGCCATGTAATGCAATGACACCACTTTAATGGCTTATTGTGCTATAAGAACGCAATGGTACCCAACGTGGCACAGACCAGTAAGAGATGTACTGACCCCATATTTTCCAAACCCATATTGTATACATCATAAATTGTTAATGAATTAATAACAAACGTAATTCTTTAAAATAAATGCACACCAATAAATTGCATTGATTGACAAAGTTAAAATTCTTGAATCGTGATTTTAAAGTACAGACTCACAAGACAGTTATGGTATAATATAAACGGGTGGTGGTGGGGCGTGTTCGTGGAAGCTATTCTCTAGAAAACTGTTACGTAAGTATGACGCATACAAACGATTTCCGGAGATTTAAAAGGAGGGTATGAACAGGACTAGTCATTCCACAAAAAGATTTTTTTAAAAAAAAATAGTTTTTGTGCTGCACCCTTGACTTGTTTGTAAAGACACCTGCAATATAGCATGTGACGTTGAGGTGTGTTTGTGGGAGCTATTCGTGTTATATTATTAGATTTTTGGAGAAATAGTAAACCACGTGACTGTTGGTATAATAGCCTCCCCCCTACCTGGCGATTTCATTCCAGTTTTTGGCGGTCATACAGTTAGTTACCCTCGTTGCCAGCTGCAGTTTATCAACCCTTGATAAGCATAAAGTAAGTTGACTGTTTCATTTCATTGAATTTAAACCCGCGGTGTTTCAGAGAGTAAAACGCTAGCTTGCTAACCTGGAGGTCCCGGGTTCAATCCCGGTGTTGGACGAGAAAGTTCCTCTTGATTTTCCGAAGAGGTTTCCCCTTTTAGGGTTGCATTTGGCACTTTATTTCATGAGATGGAAGTTTTATTTTTGGAGAATCGTAGAAAATCTGATATCGAGCACAGATCACAACGAAGGCCGTCACGTTTACATAGTATTAAGTCATGATGGCGAAAATTATCGATTAGCTGCCATCTTAATTACATGTGTCACATGACGCGTTAAGATCCTCCCACTTTTTGAAGATCAAGTTTAGAAGGGGCGGTATATTGTTATTGATATCACTATATAATAATAATAATAATAATTTATTTTATTTACGTGTCACGTATTACATCCAAAATATACATACAAACATACAATTACAATAAAAGTGATGAATAATACCCAGCCGTTATCGACTTATGAGACACGATCTAAAAAAAAAATATGTACATTAAGACAAAAGTCAACAGTATCTTTGAACGGACTAAATACATTAAATTAAAAGTCATTGATATATTTACAAGTAAAATCGTCTAGTTTTGAGCATATTTAAAATACAATTAGCAATTAAAGGAATATTTTCTGAAGACATCATGATGGTTAAAAACTTGTTCATAGAATCAGAATTTATAAAATCATCAAAATTGAAGGCATTAAGAAGTTTGTATCGAATATCATCTAAAAATTCACAATTAGTTAAAAAATGAATTTCGTTTTCAATTTCTATATTACAAAGAGGGCAGATACGATCTTTTAAAGGAATGGGGGGCTTACAGTAACGACCAGTTTCTATGGCAAGGGGGAGAACTCCACATCTGAGTTTGGCAATAACACTACGTTGTGGTCTGGTCAAAGCACATGTTACATAAAATTCTGGATACAAATCCTTTTTAAACAGTCTATAAGTTCTCAGTTTATTTCCATTTAAAACATTTTGTCTGTCATTCCACAATTTACTAAACCATACGAATTCATCATAATTAAAAATCTTAGTACACATAGATTTGATGAACAGTTTTGATGAGCAATTAGTATGCGCTTGAGCGATCTCATTAGAGACATTAAATGTTTTGGCTAATGTGAGGACGCGTTTCTCCCATGACTTGGATATTCGCGATGACCATTGATGGACCTTGAACACTAGTCTGTCCGGATCACTCTTTTTAAGTTTATGCCACCACTTAAACACTTCTAGCGCTTGTTTAGTTTTTGAAGTTATCCACCCCACATCTCCGTATGCGGCTACGTTAGAGCTGCGTTTTGGTAGACCTAGAAATAGCTTACAAGCTCTTGTACGCACATTGTTAATCGCACTGTGTTCACTAGTTCCCCAGATGGCAGCACCATACAACAAAACAGGTTCAACTAGACATTCATATAGCTTATTGAATACAGTAAACGACATTCCTCCAAGTGCAAAGAATTTATTTCCGAGAGCCCCTAAAGCACGACTGGCTGATTTAGCTAATTCTTTAACCGCTATTTTATAACACAAATGTTCGTCAAACCAAAGTCCTAGATATTTATATTTCTCACTGTACAAAAGAGTTTCCTGTCCACATTTAAATTCGAACTTTGACCTTTCAGTGTTTACAGTTCTGAAGTGTAAAATATTTGATTTGGAGTTATTGATCTGTAAACGCCATTTATAGCACCATTCATTAACACAGTTTAACATCAGTTGAAGGTTCTTTTCACAAGTGGCTAACAACACAATATCATCCGCATATAAAAGAATACTTAAGTTAAATCCATCGATATCTATACCTAAATTGAGGTTCTTTATTTCTTGAGCTAGAAATTGCAACAGTTGAAACCACAAGCACTCTCTATCGACATTATCAAACGCTTTCTTCAGGTCTATAAAGCATGCAAATGTGGACTGCTTGACATTTTTCCTGTTATTAATGACACTGTGTAGGGTATATAGTTGATCCATTTAGCTACGTTTTTCTCGAAAACCGCATTGTTCATCCACCAACAGATTCTGTGATTCAGTCCAATTAGCTAGCCTCTTATTGAGAATATCACAGTACACTTTACTTGGCACAGATAAGAGTGTTAATCCACGATAGGTGAGAGGGACCAGAGGGTGAGTAGAGTTCGCTTTAACAATGGGTTTTATAATCCCTGTCGTCCAAAGCTCCGGTACAGTTCCATTTTCAAAACAATACGAAATTATGTTGAATAACATGTCGATGCAAACAGTGTTTTTTAAAGCCTCTGATGGAATATCGTCAAACCCGACGGCTTTTCCTCGTTTGAGTCGTGATATAGCATCTTTCACTTCATCTTTTGTTATTTCTTCGTTTAGAATTGCATTATTCATATCGATATTAAACAAAGTTTTATAATATTCTTTGACTGACTGTTTATGTTGTTCATCGAAGTTAATGTGTTCACTATTATATAGTTCACTATAATCTGTTTTCCATTTGTTCAATACATCGTTTAGATCACTGTTGATTGTTCCATTATCATCAATGACTTCAAGGGGTAAGCTTAACTTTCGGTCATTCACTGTTCCGATCTTTCCGAACGTTTTCCAGAAATCACGTGTGTGTTTAACACCTGGGTTCATCAGCTTGTCTGTTAAATCTTGTTGCTTTTGTAGCTGATAACGTCTCTTATATTTCCTGTGAAGTTTGTCGAAGTCTCGACGACTGTCACAGTACTCTCGTTTGAATAGTTGTCTCTCAGCGCTATTATGTTTACATCTTAACCATACTTTCTCTTTCCTGCACATATCGTCACGCATAGCTTGCAATGTTTCATCCCAATAAGGTTTAAACACACTTTTACTTTTGTTCGTGTCACCCGAGGGAATAGTTCTCTTTAATCCACAATTATCCATTTCTACTTTGAGAAAGTTCACAAGAGTTTCATAAGCTGAATTCACACTTTGGTTTCCAAAAATGTCATCTTCTATTCTGGCTATTGTTTCGTGTATCATCTGTTGAGTGGACTCATTCTGTAAGAAATTTAATGGAAAGTTTTTCACATTATACGAGTTCACTTTTGCTAATCGCTTGGGTTCGTTTTTATTGATGTTCGGTAACAATAATTCAGGTGTCTTCATTGACCACTGAAGAACAGAGTGATATGGTGTAGTAATAGGCACAGCTAAATTGTTTTAACTTTAAACTCAGTGTAAATCGATAACTGTTCATGGGGAACGAATACATAATCCACAACTGACTTTCCCTTTATAGATATACACGTGAAATCATTTCCAGAACCAACTCGTCCGTTTAGCATACACATATTATTATCTATTAGAAAATCTAGTAATAAATCACCATAATGGTTAACAGTCGTATCCACACATGATCTTGATGAGACATCGTCGACACCCTCAATGAAGTCACTATTATTTCCAATACGTGAATTGAAATCACCACAAATACACAATAATCCTTGATTTTGATAACTGTAAATTTGTTGAGATAGTGTTAAGAAAAACTCATATCCGAACGTAACTTCCTGGATTATGGCCCCTGATTGGTCGCAAAATTGCATTTTTAGCTTGTGGATTCTCTAGAGGTCACAATTTTCTTTCCAATTTGTAAAAACGTTTAGATATATCACCATTCCACAATAATGAAGGTTGAATTGGAATTTCGGGAAAATCGAAATAAAAGTGCCCGACAAATGGCCGCTCTTTGTATGCAAATTGTGTATAAGTACGTAATACAAAGGTCACAATTTTTATCCGATTTTGATCAAACTTAAAACATATCTTTATATTCCAAACACCTCAGTCCCTTTTGATATTTGCGCATTTCAGACCATAACTTTCTGGATATTGGCCCCTGATTGTACAAAAAATCGTGTTTGTTTTTAGCTTGTTCTCTATCCATCTCTTGCAAAATGTGGGCGTATCCTACCTGGCAGCCGCTGGTTTTATTTCTGGAATTAAAGAACATGAAAATTAATTGAGCAAATATACCCCAACACCTTTGAACAAGAGCATCGCTAACGCTGTAATATACGTCCACGTTCCTGCTTTGATTAAAATGAAGAGAATGAAATATGAAATGGCTGTAATAGGAGAAGAATGCAAAAAAGGCTACGAGTTGGGTTTGTTTTGCCAAATTTACAGAAAAAAATATGGACACAAAAGTGGGTGTGACACCGCCCCAGGGGGTTGGGGCATGCACCAAAAGAATTAATTCCTGTCCTTGCGGTATAAGGAATAAATATGCAAAGTTCCAAGATGATCCTTTCAGAATTGCAATCTGTAGACGATAAATACAAAAATGGGCGTTGATCTGCCCCTGGGGGTTGGATATGGAACAATATAAATAGGCAGCACCCTGTTATTGAAATGGTTGAACAAAATCTGTTAATTATTGCAACCTGTAGAGTATTTACAGATAAAAACTAACAAAAAGTGGGCGCGAAACCATAACCTTGGGGGTCGGGACATGCACCAAAATAAATAGTTGTTATCCTTACAGTATAAGGAATAAATATGCCAAGTTCCAAGATGATCCATTTAGAATTCAAGCCAGCAGACAAAAAAAAACAATTGGGCGTGGCTCTGCCTCTGGGGGTTGGGCATGGACATATATATAGGTACAACCCTATGTTGGATCATTCCGAACTGGATCCAAATCTGTTGATAATTGCAACCTGTATATCATTTACAGACAAAGTATCAACAAAAAGTGGGGGTGCCACCACCGAAAGGGCAAGGTGGGGGGGGGGGGCGTGCACCAACATCAATAGTTACCGTTCTCAGGGTATAAGGAATAAGTATACCAATATTTTATGAATATAGCTTGTGAAAATACACCCAAATCAAAAAAGACTCACTGCGCAGTGATGTTTGAAAGAGTTTGAAGTATTTTGTTCAATTAATATATATATATTAAATCAGTTTGTGTCGGCATACCTTTTTTTATCTTTTCA